CAAAGGGCCAAGATCCACATGCTCAGCCCATGGTGAGTAGAAATGACTGTGGTACAGCCTTACAGTGGCGCACTAGAAGGCTGGAACAAGGGAGCAAGAGCTCACACACACTACAACCTGGCCAAGCTCAAAACTGCCCTCCAGGATGAAAGAAGATGATCACAAAGCTCACACACTGTTGGTTTCAGATGGAGGAAACATCCAGAAAAGGCAGAAGGAGACTCATGGTTACCTGAGACTGGGATTGGGCCCTGGGGATGATTTCGCAGGAGCAAGAGGTGATGAACGAGTTCTAAAACTAGACTGTGAAGATGGGCACAGAGCCCTGGGGTTTGGTGGGAAACTCCTGAACAGTTAAAAAAAAGAAAAAAAGGGGGGGGGCAGATCTTAGGATATGCAAATGAAGCTCCAAGTTACTTTTCCAAAATAGGGTTTGACTATCCCAACTTCAGCTTGAGAGAGTCACTGTAAGGATTAGACGAGATGGCGTATGCAAAGCAGCTGCCTGGTACCCGGTACCTGATAAATAATCATGAAGGTGAGAGTCAGAATATGTAACAGGGAGAGCTTGCGCAAACGTGGAATAATAGACAGCACAGAAATAACAGCTTCTGCCTCTTCCCAACTTCTTACCACACATCTCCAGCATCTACCAAGTCACGTCAGCCCCTCGGCTCTTCCCCACTTCTTACCACACATCTCCAGCATCTACCAAGTCAAGTCAGCCCCTCGACTTTACACGGTAGGGGTATGAACACGCTCAAGTGAGGAAACTGAGGTCTGGGAAAGTTAGGTTACTGTCCCCACAATGCACAGGTAGTCACTGGGAGAGCTGAGATCTCAACTCAGGGGGGATGAACTACAGTCTGCACACCAACCCCCTGGCTCTCTGCAGCCTCTCAGGAAACAGCGTGGTGCACCGTTTCTATGCTAGTGACGGCTGAGGTGCCCAGAGGCCTGTGGAGAGCTCTCCTTGGGAACCTGAAGAGTTAGAGAAAGTATGCCAGGTGAGGGAAGCACACACCCAGAGGTGCCAAAGGGGCCAAAGAACTTAGGGGCCATGAGGAGGAATCAAAAGATGCCGAGGAGTGGTGAGGGAGGGGCTCAGGCAGGTCCTAGGTCAAGGACATTAGCCAGATTGTTTTTCTCGGAGAACAAATCTCACCCACCCCCTCTGCAGGTGGGGAGGTTGACTCAGGATGCTGTGAGCTCAAGGGAGTGGGGAGCTGCCACCCATGCTCCCTCGCCACTGTGAGCTAACACCCCAGCAGCCTCCCAAACAGCAGCTCAGCCAGCAAGCAGAAGCCGTTCTCAGTCAGCCCAGGCACAGGCGGGCTCTGTCAGGCTGCCAGGAAGCTGAGCAGAGATCAGCAAGTTCAAGGGCTGACGGACGGCAACCTCAAATGCATCCACCCGTGGACCCCAGGGCCCCCTTCACACGGCCCCCACAGCTTTCCACAATGACACCAATCCAGGGGTCTTTTGTTAATGACTTCCATCCAGCTCGCAAACATGTTTCCACATTTGTCCAAGATAAATACTTAGACATGTGCCCAAAAGTTCACTGTGCACAAAGCAAAACTACTGGGGAAATTGTATAGATCCTGGTGACACCAGCTATAAAACATTACAGAGAGAACCGTGCAGGTCTGCTGTGCTGCGTGTTGATGGCACACGTAACTCCGAGACTTCATACTGGGGAGGGGGAGTGAACACTGGAGTCACGTGCCTGGAATCCCAAGATGCCTTTCCTTGCATAAAAGCTTAAAAAAATATGAAGGTCTATGTGCCTCCCGGTCCACACATAGAAGGAAAGACTTCGATCAACAAGAAGGGGCTAGAAGGGGGAAAGGGAGAGAGGAAGGGACTTGTTATTCTGTACAACTCTATATCATTTGATTTAATAAGAATTCGTTTGTATGAATTTTATATTTTCTTAAACATTAAAGTTGTTTTATCTGGAGAACTATTTAAATCACTGCTGATCTGCCACGGAGTTCAGGGTAACTTTCAAAGGTCTAGGATATTTTGCTCTTCTCGTGGAGGGCCTTGAACTCAGTATGTAGCTAAGGATGACACAGAATTTCTGACCTCCCTGCCTCAGGTACTGAGATCACAGGTGTGGATATTGTATCCAGTTTACATAGTACTGCAGACCTCACACATGCTAGGCAACCCCTCTACCAGATGAACTACATAAATCTAGAACCAATTCTAACTCCTGCCACACTCTCTCGAACCCAAGCCCTCCATGATGCAGATTTTAATTGAAATTTAATTTCAATTTTAATTGAAAACAGAGAGGAAAACAAATTGTTCAAGGTCATAGGCTAGGGATGGAGCGGAGGAGCACCCTTGAACTCCAAGCCATGTATCTTCTAAGCAGCGTACTTGACAGTTGACAAGAGATGATATTTGGGTAGCGGGCTGGGTAGGTGCCATTAACTGTTCCAAAACACACAGCCAACTCTCAAAGTCTGCAGAGCCCCTTGGGAAGGGAAATGGGGTTTTCCAGAAAAGCGCAATTGACACGTGGAGAGAGAGGAGTTAGTGAACTGCCACCTCCACCAAAAATTAGACCTCGTCATGAGCCTGCCAGCCACCCCCTGAGTGGGATGGGGCCGCCACGTCACCCAGCACACCAAATCACACGTGGGAAGGAGCCTCGGGGCCACATCCCCAGCCTGAGCCATCATGCCTTTCAGGGGCTCATCCCAGCTCTCACCTGAGCCGTTTGAAACTCAATGGATCTGGGAGCCTGTCCCTGCTCACGTCCTAGGGCCCCGTATTACGGGGATCAATGGTATGGTGCTTTCGAGGCAGTCCAGAAGTTGGAGGGTCAGGGGAGCACAGGTTTGTATCTCTTATCTGAAAGGCTTGCAATGTGGTGTGTCTGATGTACTGAAATACTCGCGATGATTGCTCGAGGACGGAACCCAAGTCAACGTAAGTTCACTTCTTGTCCTGCTTACTTACAGCAAGCAGCTTGGGTATCATTTCTAGCCCACCAGTGCTTTACAATCCATCCCATGAGGTCAGGCATGTTTGTTTCTATATGTAACATCTATGTAGGTGCCCCAAATGTTTCAGATTTCCATGGTTAGGGACACTCGGCCTATGAACGTCCATGGTCTCTTATGTTCTCAGTGCCCCCAGCCCTCAGCTCTCACTAACTGTTCTAGTACTTAATACCAGGAGAGGCTCCAGAAGGATCCGGGGGACATGCTAGGCTTCTCAATACCAGGAGAGGGGAGGAATCCAGGGGACATGCCAGGCTTCTCCAGGGGTAGTGCAGATGCTCCTGAGGGGTCAAAGGGCATATGCACAAACTGCAGCTATAATGAGCAGGCGTGAGTCTATGCACACTCAGGGAGCCTGGTCAAAGCCATTCTAGCTGTAGAGAGCAAACCTGAAAAGCCAAGGGGTAGTATCCTACGTAGGGTTTCTGATCCTGTTATCCTACCAGGTCAAGGTTCTGAATCTCTCTGAATCCAATATCCCTATCTGTAAAGTGGGCGTTATTGAATGTAAGCAGTACAGGGTAACCGTGCAACCCGGAAACCGTATGACCATGAATTCATTTATTTACACAGTTCGGAGAGTAAAACCATCCTGGACAACGTGGTGTATACTTGTCTCTACTTCCAGACTTACGGAATCCATGACAATATAAACTACACATTTAAAGAAATAAAAGGTAGCAATATAATAAAACATGCTGATACATCAGCTATGGGGGTTCATACCTGCCATCCTAGAATTTGGGAGGTGGAGGCAGAAAGATCAAGAATTCATGGTCATCTTCAACTACATAGACACTAGCTTGGGCTACCTGATAGCCTGTCTCAAAAGTCAGAAAGCAAAATTTCAAAACAATCATAAGCGTATAGTTAACATGAGGGCCATGTCCGAGATACTTCACGGGTATTACTCAACTGAATGCTCAGAAGGCCTTCACGGGGGTGCTACGGTCTCCCCCATTTTGGACAAGTAAAGTCTAAGGACAGAGAACAAAAGAACTTCTCTGTGTCGGGGTCACACAGGGACCTGCACATCCAGTTTTAAACCCAGCTGCCCACCTCCAGGGTATAGATACATTTAAAAAGGATGTTATCATTTTTTATTTTATGTGTATGTGTATTTTGCCTACATGCATGTGTGTGTATCACATATGTCCGCATATCCCATATGTCTGGTACCTGAAGAGTGGGTCAGATTCCCTGGAACTGGAGTTATAGCTGATTGTGAGCTGCTCTGTGGGTACTAGGAATCAAACCCGGGTCCTCTGGAAGGACAATCGGTGCTCTTAACCTCCCAGCTAAGTCACCAGCCCCCAGGGTCTAGCTCTTCACTACCTTCCACCATGGATGTGGCCGTGGAGAGTGAACTGAGAACAGATTCAGGGATATGGGTTCTGGAGAGAGTGCTGGATCCGTGTATAAGACCCTGGGTTCCCTCCCAGCATGAAAAAAGAAGACCAGCATGCCACAGGCTGAGTAAGGACCAGAGAAAAGGATTCCAGAAATGCAGCATCCTAGAGTAGCCAGCTTGGGTGGGTGGGGGGACACGGGACACGGGATACCACGTGTTCATCATTCTGCACGGAGTGCCAGTGCCGCAGGAAGCAGGCTGTCAGTAAATATTTGTAGGAGGGAAGGGAAATTGTTATTGTATTCCTTAGCCAAAAGCTGGACTCATTGTCTCCAACAATCTAAGATAAAGCCAAGGCTTGGGGGTGGGAAGGGATGCGTGATGGCACAGGCCTGCAGTCCCAGCTCCTGGGAAGTAGAGGCAGGAAGGTCAGAAGTTAAAGGTCATACGCAGTTGCGTTACAAGTGGAAGCCTCCCTGGGCTACATGAGACTGTCTCAGGAGTGGGGGAGAAGTCTCCTAGGGCCATCTTCTTCCTCATGTGGACTGATGGGGTGGCCCACACTTGACCTCAGGAGCAGAATTTGCCTGCCCTTGTACAGACGGGGTTCTGGAGCCAGGGGGCCTTACCTTCTTCGGCATCGTTCCTCAGTGAGGCCTCGAGCAGCGCCACACTGGCCTCAAAGGACACCTTCTTGCGACGGCCACCTGTGCTGCGCTTCCGCTCATGCTTGCGCTTACGGTGAAGCAGGTCCTGTTCGTACTGTGCCCACTTCTTCAGCTGCTGAGCCCGGCGCTTCTGGGCTGCGCGCAGGCGCTCCAGCGTAGGTACCTTCTCCAGCAGCTGCAGCTCGGTGAGCAGGTCCACGTGGCTGGCCATGGCCCCCGCACCTGCCCTTGCCCTCCTGGGGCTAGCACGGTGTGCCAGGGGCCAGGGGAGCGCAGGGGCTCCCGAGGGGCTGGGGCCTCATGGTGGGGCCTAGGGAGGGAAGACAGACACACAGAGATGGACTGATGAGGCCCGAGAATACACATCGTATGGTAGAGAAACTCACCCGACCACCCTGACCAGAGTTCAGAGATCCCTTGAGGTTTTCTTTCCATTTGTGCCAAGAGCAAAGTGTAGCTTCTTAAGAGTAGAGAGTGGGTCCCAGCAAGGCCTGGCTCTGCTGTGAGCCAGCGTTTGAATGAAAGGAAAACAGTGCAGTTTCACAGTCACACCTACGTGCACACTTCCTAGTGGATCCCACGCTGGATACCCAGATAGAGACCATTCCATTCCTCCTGAAAGTTCTGCTGCATGATGGCGTTTGCCCGCCTCTCAAGCCACAGTCAGCTAACAGAAGCTTGCCCTTTGCAGCAAGCATTCTTGTGCAAAGGCATCCTACTTCAAGAAGTAAGTCACGTGATAGTGGAACTAGAGGGTATCTTGGGGCTTAGGACAACACGGGGGCAACCAAACCCAGGAAACCCCAGGCTGTGCAGCATTCAAATAGAAGCCCTGAGGGCTGGGAATAGGGTTCAGCTGGCTGCTTCCTTGCCTCGTGGGAACCAAGTCCGGGTTCCATCCACAACACCCTATAACTAGTGTATGGAAGTGAATGCCTGTGATCTGAGCACTGAGGACATTTAGGCCAGGAGGATCAAAAGTTTGAGGTCATCCTTGGCTACATAGTGAGTTTGAGGCTAACCTGAGCTACGTGAGAGGAGAAGGAGGGGAGGGAGCAGGGGGGGGGGCAGGTAAGAAATAGAAGCCAAAAATGGGCTGGAAGGATCTAAGAGGATATAAAGTTGCGGTGGTTCTCAAAGTGTGGCCCAGGCACCCTGTGGAGGGACCCCTGAGGCCCTTTCAAGGCGCCCACAAAGTCAGAACTGTTTGCATAAATGGAGAAGACACTGCTAACCTTTTCCACTCTCGTTTTGCTCCTAGAGCAAGTGTCCTAACGCTACACAACAGGTGACTTCTGTCACTAAGGTAAAGCCCAACAAAGGGCCAGACTTACAGGGCAACTCTCTTTCTCACTTTTTCGTTTGTTTTAGGACAGTTATTTCTTTTTCATCAAAATGTCAAGCAGAGTTATAACACATGATAGGTGTCTATCTTCCTTTTACATTTTATTTCTTTTGGGCTGTGACACACAGCACCATGATGCACATGTGGAGGTCAAAGGGTAACCTGCAGGAGTCAATTCTCTTCCCATGATGTTCTGGGTTCTGGAAATCAAGCCCAGGTCATCAGACTTGGTGGCAAGCACATTTATCAATTTGAGGCCAGCCTGGGCTATACAGTGAGACTGTGACATAAAATCAAAGACAGTAAAAATAAACAATTTGCATAAACAAAGTCCCTTTAGGATCCTGAATTTCAAGGGTTAAAGTACCCCCCCAACCCCAAAAGTTTACTAACTGCTGAAATATTAGACCTGGAATCTATGGGCTGAAGTCCTTCCATATACACACCTTGGAGAACCTTCAAAGGAAAAGGACATACAACTGCTCTCAGAGATTGAAGCCAAGTGGGTTTCACATTGGCACAGACCCTGGGTGCTCTGAGGCAGAGGAAAGGGGTCTTTGGACAATCACTTGAACCTTCCGAAGATTATATTCCCATCTGCAAAATGCTCTGTCACCTCCCAGAATTTCCAGGGTACTCAAGGAATAAAAGAGCTGGCTACGGTTGCACATCTACTAGCAAAGAAGGGATGGAGGCGTGAAGGCAGAGCACCCTCGACCCACCAGGCAAGGCTGTCTCCGGTTGCTGGGAAACACTGAAGGATGGGTGGGTCCACATTTGTGGGATGAAAAAACAAAGTTGCCTTCTTGGGGAATCAAGTCTGAACTACAGGAAGACATTGCTGATCTCCTGAGGCCTAGGCTTCAATGTCCTCCCTCCAGACGGCCTTTCCTTCAGAGACCGACCATCAGGGATCCCAAGTCCAGCCCCTTAGGAGCCAAGAGGGGGTGAAATGGGCCAGTCTCCCTCCATCCCTGAATCCAGAAGACAAGCCAGCAGCAGCTGGAGAGGGGGGAAACTGACAGTGTCACAGGGCCAACCCCAGGGGTCTGAGCGGGTCTATCTCAGTGGTCGATAAATCAAGAGCAAGACTCAATAGGAAACATGCAGCTTGGCTTTCGCATTCTTTGCTTTGCTTTGGTTTTGGTTTTAAGTAACTCAGAGTTTCTGGGCCTGGTGGCAGCCTGGCATCTTAGCTACTTGGGAGGCGGAGGCAGGAGAATTTCAAGTTCTAATCCTGTCTGAGCTAGAGTAAGTTCAAGGCCAGCCTAAGCCACTGATTGAGACCCTGTCTCCAAATTAAACAAGCAAGCAAACAACAGCATAAAGAAAGAAAGTAGGGAAGGAAGGAAGGGAGGGAAGGAGGAGGGGAGGGAGAGAGGGAAGGAAGGAAGGGAGGAAGGAAGGAAGGAAGGAAGAAAGAAAGAAAGAAAGAAAGAAAGAAAGAAAGAAAGAAAGAAAGAAAGAAAGAAAAAGAGCCAGTATGGTGGCACACACCTTTAATCTGAGCACTGGAGAGGCAGAGGCAGGTGGATCTCTGAGTTTGAGGCCAGCCTGATCTATAGACTTGAAAAACCAAAAGGCGGAGGAGAAGAAAAGAAAAAAAAGAAACCCTGGGGCTCTAGCTCCGGAGTAGAAGGCTTGTCAGGCATGCATGAAACCTGGGTTCAATGCATAATATAACATGTTTAAAAATTCTTGCAGTCATTTTGTAGTTAACTTTTTATCTTGAAAACAGGGACGTTACCAACTGTAACCCATACTCCCCAGATACAGTTCTAAAGTAATTTCACCAGTGCATACCACCACAGTAAAATATCAACCGCTCCTCAGCTACAAGCACCCCTTCCGGCAACTTCCCAAGGGCTCCCCTACGCGCCCCCAAACCCACCCACATCCCAGTCCTTGGCACTGATCTGCTCGCTGTCTCTAGGCTTTTGTTCAAACAACACTATAAAAACAGGAGTAGAAAGCAAGTAAGAACTGAGGGCTGGCTTTCTTCACACAGATCACTCCTTTGAGGTTCATCCCAATCACCATACGCGTCGATAGTTTTTGCTCCTTTTTATTGTTATCTAGTATTCCACTGCGGATTAATTTGTTTCCCCCATCCACTTACTGGAAAAGGTCTGGGTTGCTTTCAGTTTGTGGCTTTTAAATCCATGGACAGGTTTTTGTGAGAGCATAAGTTTTCATTTCTCATGGCGAATGACCTCAGGGCACAGCTGTCGGATGATCTGGTAATTACCCCGGTTAGTTTGAAAGAAATCGCCAACCATGTGGCTGTGAGTCTACATAATAAATAAATCAGGCTTTAAAAGAAAAAGAAAGAAACCACCACTCTCCTCTCCAGAGGGCTTGCACCTGCTTTCCCTCCCTCCAGCTAGGCACAGTGAGGCAGGCTCCCTGGCAGCTCCAAGTATTGTCCCCGCTTTGGACTGTGGCCACTGAGACAGATACTGTGGCCGGGTGGTTTTGAGCATATAGAATGGAGTTGGATGCCCTAACATGGTGCTATGATGGTCTCACTGGAGCTGGACAACCAGATGTTAGTTCTACTTCGTGTGAACACCTGCTCCAGGACTAGCCTGAATCAGAGACGAATGGGAGGCTAGCTCTCCTTTCTGGAAGGTTCCTGCCTGTCAATTAAAAACCCACCCAATCCTCCCGGCTACTTAGAGAAGCGGGCACTATCATGTTTGTCTTGCAAGTAAAGAAAACCGATGAAGTCATTTAACCAACATCACGGCTTAAAAAATAGAGGGGCTGTGGTCTAGGGATGTAGCTCAGTTGTTGGGCTGCTTGCTAACATACAAGAAGCCCTGGGTTTACACACACACCCTCTGGAGAGGACAGGGCTGCCCAGACTGAAGAGATCAAGAACGTCTGAGATCTGTAAGGTACACTTTTGGACTACAGACCAAACTTAATCAGCAAACCTCCTGTATTAGTCCATTCACGTTTATCAGTCTGTTTGGGTTTAGCCCACACCATCTTCAACATCTCAATTAAGTACTCACATTTAAAACTTGGCGTTTTTATGTCCAGTATCAGATATAGAACATCTCAAGATCTGGCCACAAAACTCACATGGCAGCCACCAAAAGGTGCAGAGAAAGGCTTTACCCTTGGGGAGCACACACCTTTTAGTTGGCCCCAGTCCCTCCCGACATCCTACCCCACCTGACCTATATTTGTGTCACCGATCACTAGCTCCTGTGGTCACTGAGTTTGGAGCCCTGTAGGAGGCAGAGGGACACAGCAGCATCCAAACACCAGAGATCCAGTCAGCACAGAAAAGGAAGGCCGTCTTGGAATCTCCAGACACGGAGCAGGGCACAGCCATTTACATCTCATAGCATGCACGGGCCTGCAAGCTGCCCAGCAAGCCCTCAGCTAAGGTGTTTAGATTCCAGGGACTGACAGTAGCCAGCATGCGTACATCATGCCCTGGAGGAAGAGGATCGCCTGGCATCCAGCTCACCTAAGTGTCCAGCGTCTTACAGCGCTCTGACTGCACACACACTGGGTTCAGTGGCCCCAAAACACGCCAAGTGACAGCTGGAAGAAGTCATGCCAGGCGGCTGCATGCCAACACGCTTTCAACTTCCCAAATACCTTCCTAGCGGAGGACGGTAGCTCAGGCCTGTGATCCAGCACTTGAGAGGCTGAGACACGCCGGCTCCAGGGAGTATGAGGCCAACCTGGGCTACACAGCAAGTTCCAAGGTTGCCCGGGCTAACAGTATTAGACCATGTGTCAAAGAAAAAATAAAAACCAAAAGAGAAACACTCTTTAACCATCATTTCCACCAGGTGTTCTAAGCATGGAAAGAGAAATGACGCAAATGAAAGTCACTACTTTGTACATTTAAGCACACTAATATAAACTATTGAAACCAAACCTGGTAATACAGGCCCATAATCTCCTCCCCTCCCCTCTCCTCTTCCCTCCCCTCCTCTCCC